AAAAAAAACATTAATTAAACTGAGCTGAAATGACAAATGACAGATTGTTTTATCATGCAAAATAGATTTTGGATCTAAAATTCAATTAATTTGCTTTATTTTAGGGTTTTGGCAGGGCGGGTCATTTTTGACCCTTAAGAAAAGGGGAGTAAACATAATGTTAAGATCACACAAGGGTTAAAGAAGGTCTAAATGGGTGTTTACGTGCAACTTGAATAGTCCTCAATAGTCCTTCACAGAGCAAAACAGACAACCCAGCATGCACACACTCATACCCAAGGGCAGTTTAGGAATGAGTGTACGTATTTGGGTCAGGTGAAGGTCTAATACTTTAACAACTCTATAACAAAATGGTTGTGATGGAAAACTCTTCACCAAGTTTAAATTTTTATGGCACATGCTCTAAATATAACATATAACAATGGGAAATTTGGTATTTAGAAATTCATGTTTGTCTGTTGCCTTGCAGTCAAGGACAGTGATAGCATGACCTCAGCGTGATGTCACAGTAAAATGAAAGGTGAGAGCGTGCCTGAGTCAAGTGCTCAATGGCATGAGATGGCAAAAAAAGAAAGGTGGACATCATTCAATCAAAATATTACAGAGAACAAAGAGACCAGACCTCAAACTTTGCATTCTTGCCACAAGATCCTTGGCATAGAAGATCTGAACTATGTTGATGTTGTATGGGGTGTCCAACAACAATAGCACCGGCGACATTTCCCATATTCTCAAGTCAAAAACTTGACATGTATGATCCTGAAGGTATCTAAGTCACATTTTTCACTTGGAAAGGTCCCTTGCTGGTCCCATTTACCTCCTCACTTGAGCTTGAGTCATATGGGGCACAGTCGATCTCGCCCGTTATCCAAAACAGAGACTTTTCACTGGGCGGCATGGCTTGGCGGAATAGTGAAGGCAGATGTCACACTGTAGTCATAATTTTAGCTTTAATTTACACATATACCATGCGATCTGCATGGTATATGTGCAATTTCAACATATTTATGCAAATATTCAGTGGACAGGGCCTAATTCCTCTACAGTACCTGATGAACTCCAAGTCATGCTTCGATTGAGTATTATGAAATTTGGAACACATGTAGCATTTTATGATCTACAAAAATGTCTCTTGGAACCGTTTCCCAATTAGCTTGAGTTCTCAGAATGAATTTCAACAAGTATGATGTCATTTTCTTCGCCATTTTTGAACTGTAGTCTGCCTGTGGTTGTAGTTTTGTAATGGCAGTAGAGGCCATTCAAATTGTATTGGCCATAATTCAAATATTAAGAAATTAAATTTGGAACTATGTTGTTTCTCGGCAATTCTCTTTGCGTTGGGAGGTGGTGATTTACATTATAAGCAATTTCCAGTAAGCATCCAGACCCTCTGCACAAAGCAAAGAGCAGAATGAGGGGCTGACATTCTGAAGAGCTTTTATAGTTTTTTTTTACGAAGGCTTCAGCATTTTTTATTACCTATACATAAATTATATTTTCTTGTACTAAACTATCTTTCAGAGAAATGTTTTATTTTCTCACTATCTTTGCACTGACCTAAGAATCCTTCAAAAGACAAACAAAAGAAGAATGTTGCAAAAACATATGTGTTTTCAGTTTTTAGTTGGATATCCAAGAACAAAGGTTTTTTTTTTTTTTTTTTGCAGAGCTATGAGCTGAAAACTTGACATATCCTGGCATTGTGTTCAATGCACCCTAGAAATTTGAATAACACAAAAGAAAATCAAATGGCAAATGGACGGCTTGTGCATTCTGTGTTTAGACAGATGTCCATGTGGGAGAGAGCAACTGAAACACAAATCATTAAAAATGACAACATTCAAAGCACATTGCTATGTTACAGAATATCAACAACAATTCTTCCTGTAGATTCTCTCTTCAGATCATTAACTGGAATTTTATGCCAGATCTTCTGTCAATAGAACTTTATTATCCTTGTTGGTGTAGAAATACAGTTTAGTTTATTTTAATTTTTTTTACTGGGATTGTTTTTCAACATTCTGACTATTTAACTATGGATTCTTGTCCTCTGACTACTCACAGCAGCAGCTCCGGTTATACGTGTCTTGTAAATGTAACCAGCCAGAACCTCAGAATTTACCCATAACAAAAACCTGTAGTGTGGGTAGCTACACTTTATTCATTTTGAAATAAACAAAATCAAAGACAAAAACTTTAAGTAGCAATAATGGAGATGAGGGCTGCTGAGAGCACAAGGAAACACTTGAAATGCTTTTGTAGGTTTTAGTGTTACGTCCCATTTAAGAAAATTACATGGAACCCTTTTGAATGAAGAGCAGTCATCAGCTTATGAAATACCAAATCCTCATTACAACTTTAATGTTACGGAACTAAATGTCTTAATGTTTTTGATGCTCCAAGAAAAGTCAATTAGCCTTTTGTCATTTCATAAATTACAACATTAAACCCGTAAAACACCTTTATTTCCTCTCCATTCCCTCTACTCATCCATCCATTATTAATGTCACTTCATACTTTTTATCTTTGCAAAAAAATATATATATTATTCATTCTTGGCATATCCTCCAATTCTACTTTCTCATTTGTTTCCTTCTTCATACCTGTGGCTTCAACCATGCCCTCAAGGATAACGACGATTTCGAATTCCTCTTTCTCCATTTGTGCCATGGACATTTCCCAGAAGGGGCTCTTTTCGTTGATCTCGTGAGAAATGATGAGTGGCGACACCAGGAACAACCGATCATCCCCTGTGTCAAAGCCGATGTTTATGTCGGTCTGGTTGAGTGGGATGAACTCCCCCTCTTTGGTCTGCTGTGAGCGGATGAGCTTCGCTCTAATTGACGCCTCCACAATGTGAGAGTTCCTCAAGTCCCCCACTCGAAACATCAGGCACATCTTGTTGTCCCGCACCGATATGACGGCATTGGTTGAGAACATGAGGGTCTCGGCGCGGTTCTTTGGCTGTGAAATCTTGACAAACATGCACCCCACCATAATTGCGTTAACAATGGATCCCAAGATGGCCTGCACCAAGAGCAGCACAATACCTTCAGGGCATCGTTCTGTAATGACGCGATAGCCATACCCAATGGTGGTCTCTGTCTCGATAGAGAAGAGGAAAGCTGAGACAAAACTGTTGAGGTTTTCCACACAGGGGGTCCAGCCCTCTTCATCTCCATGCACCAGATCTCCACGAACCAGTGCAATAAGCCACCAGAGAAACCCAAAGAAAAGCCAGTTGACCACATAAACCAAGGTAAAAATTAATAGACTGAAGCGCCACCGCAGATCCACCAGAGTAGTAAATAAGTCACTGAGGTAACGATAGGTCTCTTGCACATTTCCGTGATGAACGTTGCACTTGCCGTCCTTCTGCACATACCGCTGTCTTGGCTTTTTTACAGGCTCTGAAATCAAGTGGGTTCGCTCGGTTGAGATCTGAGTCTCCCGCAGATGTTTTGGGAGTTTCTTAACCTAAGATGGACAACAAAAGAGAGAGAGAGAAAAAACAGAGGGTAAAACAAAATAAGCATGCACAAACAGCTTGAAAAAAGTTCTTACTGAACATTTACTTTTTTCCTGTACAAATTTACTTTACATACTTTATGTTTTGTAAGTGTATGGTTCTCAAACTACAGTACAGGCGCTATGGGTAGTTCTTGTACTGCCTAAAATCTCAACCTTCAAGTAAAAAATGGAAACATAATTAAATGTTGCTAATGTTCTTTTCATGGCACAACAAATTTCAGTCTATAATTCAAAAATGTCACTCAAGATAATGAAACGCCTGAAAACGCATACAGATTGAGGTGCTTTTTCTAATAAAAAAGGTTTTAGAACCACTGGGGTAACGTTTTTAGAAGTGAACTTGCTTTATGGGATTTGCTCGGAGATACTAGAAAAACTAACACACATTACACCTGGCTGTCTGGCAGCGACACCAATGCAATCAATAGCTGCATCATAAAGTTGCCTCCTGTGCTCTGGTTGCCACTGACATTGCAGGTGCCAGTCTATGTGTGCATATGGACCAGACCCAGACAGAAACAGAGACTAAGGACAAAAGAGCACAAGGACACCGGGGTCTTTGTCTGTGCTGGCCCCGCTCCAGCAAGGCAGTCTGGCTCCACAGCTGTGTCCTGTCTCCCTCTGTGTCCCTTGTGTTCTCTCCTTTTGCACGCTAAGGGACACTAGCTTGAGCAGATTTTCCATCCTTTTCCAACAGACCCTTATGTTATCATTGACACAAGCTGCTTCTATTAGCATCCACGCATTGTTGTCGAATTGAATGTCGTTTTCCACGAGGGTTAATGAAAATAGCACTACAGCTTCACACTTTCGGTGATGTATTTCAACAAAGGCTGACCTTATTTTGCTTTTGAGTGACCCAAGCATATAGAAGTGAAGCAAAAACAAACATACATCAAGACAAAGCCATGTGGAGCTTTCAAACAAACCTATGACCTGTGACAAAGTGGAATTTTCACTTAAATGACGTGTCGTTGTCTCAATATACTTTGCTGCTAATTGGACACCTGCAGTCTGTAGCTGTCCAGTATCATGCAGATATCATTGAGAGATTTTCATCCTGTTGTGTTCATGCTGGCCTTTACCAGCTTTCCACTCTCGGTTTAGCTGGCAAAGAAATGAATCAAAGGCACTACAATGTCCTTGCAGTGCCTTCGATTATGGAGCCTACAATTAAAGCCTGCCAGACAGGTTTATTAAAGGTAGTATCACTGATGTGTCAGGGGAACTTTCACTGCTCTCCTATGTTTAATTATGCACTTTTAGTCAGATGTGGGTGTACTGTATTGATTTTCTTCATATTGATTTGAGGTCATCCTTGTTAAAGGAACAATTCAGTGAAGAACTGAGAGACGATTACTTATTGAAGCAGCTTGATCAGTTTGGATGAAATGTTATTAAAGCATATGAACACGAGGTAAAAGTGATACATTCAGGGCCAATAAGTTCACTACTTGCAACTTTTTAAACTTACCCTAGGAGGGGGCAGGAGATTTTGAGCTGTGGCAGCATGTGCTGATATTACAGTGGACAATCAGTTAAGCTTGAATGGTCCAACCTTAAGATACATCTGCCACACTTTTATATAGTGTATTATGACATCGTACAAGCAGCATACGCTGCAATCTAAAGTGCTTCTTTAGTAGTGAATTTTTAGAGCTTGTAGCTTAGAAAGCCGTTCTTTTACACCACTCATGAAAACAAGCTCATTCATTTCATCTTGTATGGTCTAATTGAGTCATAGAAGTAGCTGTCTCAACCAGTACTGCCTTTTGTAGTCAGTACCTGGGGTTGATGGTCCATAAACAAATTAATTAGCAGCCTCAGAAAGGCAGCAGTAAGTGGAAGTTTTTTTTTTTTTTTTTTTTTTTCCTTTTTGAGCCTTTTTTTGTCGGGCTTGAGTATCCGCCAAAAGTTCCAGTCAGCTGGGGAATGAGTGCAGATAACAAGCATGACTCCACCATCTGTTATAGAGGCAAGTGTTGGATGTCTTTTCTTTATCATTCTCAGTGCTAGCAAAACTGAATTATGCATTGATCTGAGTATTGAGGAAATTTAATTATATTTTGTTTGTCAGCACTTCTCAAAGACACAAACAAATCTTTACAGCACACCAGTTGCATATTTAATAGCCATTTCACTTTGAGTACTGTTAAGCTTGTGCACAGATTGCCAGCCTGTTTTCTGTCCCTCTTATTCTTCCCCATCTTATTTACTGCAGTTTAGCAAACATCAACCTTTCAGCGAAAAAAATGGTGGATTTGCAGTTTACCTGTGCAGGGGTTACCCCTATCTCCATGTTGTGGTCCATGAGGACTCGAGAATCTCCTGCCATCCTCAGCTGAAGCACACCTGTGGAACATAGAGCAGGTTAATTACCTTAGATGTGAAACATTTCTATTTTATAATTTTTTTTGTTAAATTTTAGTTAAACCAACACAGAAAACAAAATAAAAATTTTAACTTAAGTCTTATCAAAGAATTTTCTGACTGAATTTATTTATTTGAGCTTTTTGTCAATCAGCCAACACTTTTCATTTGTTGCCTTGCAAAAAGATGGGGTTAGTTTCCATGAGTAATTTTTTTTGTTTGTTTTGTTTTGTTTTGTGGCATTTGAAGATTTTGTCTGTATTTGCAGGGTTCTCCCCAGATTCTCTCCACAGTCTAAAACCAGACACATTAGATTAATTGATGACTATAAATAACCCAAAAAATGTCAATGTGTTGGAGGACAGACAAGAGACAAATTTAGGAAAATCTGTCTCTTTGGCATCCTTAATGCATTTTGTATAAGGGTGATCTTTGTATCTCCCTCCAATGGAAGTTGGCACCACTGCACAGTCTGCAATTGTGTAGGAATAAGACAGAATATTCATTTTACTTGTTTGTATAACTTATATATATATATATATTTTTTTTTTTTTGTCCCAAACTTTAATGTCCTTACTATGAGGCATTAAACATGTTTACATCTTGTTTCTGCGGAAAACCAATAGAGTCAATTGCATAATTAGGGTTGGATCTATTAAATATGTAAAAAAAAAAAAAAAAAAATCAGCAGCGTTTAGAAAATATTTTTATTTTAATTGAGTAAGAAGAGATACACACGCCACCTCTGACACACCCTGACAGGATTCTGTTGTGCATTTTCCTGAGAGTGTGACTTAACTTTGGCTACATTTACACAGCAAGCAAATGTGACCCAAATCCACCATCTCTGCCCATATGCGACCTATATCTGGCTTTTTTGCCACAGTTAGAACAGCCCAATTCCGATCTTTTCACCAACCCCAAAAAATCCAATATGTGCCACTTCCATGTGCAGTATTAATTTGAACACATATCTGATTGTTTTCAAAGTCTCTGCCATATTGCAATCTACTCGGCTTATCTGTCATTGATATGAGACGTGTGTCATAATTCTGCACCAGAAGAAGCCAGATGCATTAAAATGAGGACATAAACAATGGTAAAAATTATGACTATGATATTATGCATCACATAACAATCAGATCACTCCTGGCTCTGACTACACATACAAACAGAAACAGAAATTGCAGTTGATGCTTCACAAAAAGCCATCGTTATTAGCTTTGCTTTCCTTCTATTATCTTTTTTTGTTGTTATAATCCTCTGACAATACTGATGGCTTCCATTGCTGAATAAACTTTAAAATTGGTCCTTAAACGGCTGCTGATGTCAGACACCAGCTCACTGTTACCAAACAGTGAGCTGGTGTCTGACATCAACGTTTTTCTGCTGCTCATGCTGGGCCACTTTGGGGACACAAACCGTTCACACTGAAGTCTTGTTGTGGTCGGGCTTAATTAGCAGTGTTGAACGACCACATTAAAAAAAAAAAAAAAAAAAAGGATTTCAGCAAAAAAATTGTAATTGAGCATCGATACTGTGCGGATGTAGCCTTTTAGAGAGGATCTTTGCTGGAGAGCTCTGCTGGCTCTGCTGGCCTGCACACCTGGGGTTAGTCACCTCATCAGGACTCTGGTGAATATAGGAGCTGGAGGACCTTCACTCCTTGCTGGATGATTAACCTTGATGGTAAACTTTAAATCTCCAGAAACTTCATGTGACCGCATGTCTTTTTTTCTTTTTTTTTCTTTTTGTGAGAGTGTATGATTCTTGAGTCATGCAGTCTTCATGCTCCAGAGGTTTAATTATGTTCCCCTGCCATCCATCTCAAGATTCTCCTGTTGAACGATCCACAGAAGCTTTGATGCCCTCAGCTCCTAGCCTGTCTATCCAGCAACAAGCGCTCTACCATCATACGACCACAGTGCATGCTTTCTCACACCAGAACCTGATTGCCCCTCCCAACGCTTGCATACAGCCTCTCTGTTCATGATTCCTACAATAACTTCCCTCTGGATGACCCCAACTTGTCCAGAGAGACCCCAACTGTTGCCCATTCTTTTTTGTTTGTGACTAAAACTTACCACTGATATCTCTGGGGTGACTCTGCATGTGGGCTGGGAAATTGCCACCCACCATCACATACCTAACCTTTCTTGAGCTCCACCTCTCAGATCTCTATAATCAGCAATGCCTCCGTTTTTATTCTCAAACAAAAACTGAGTTTGAGAACTATGTGTTTATCCCTGCTCGAATAGGACAATCAACTGGATGTGCCATTTATGCACCAAATTTACAGTTAAAAAAAAAAAAAAAACTAAGCCACCTACTCTTAAATATCTGTCCAAAGATGAGTTATGTCTGTATTAGCAAGTTTAGGGGGGGGGGGGGGGGATTTACAAGGCCAAAGGTTTGGCATAATTTCAAAAGAAAGTGAAAATACTTTTATGAAAACAAGTTGCCTTGGCATAAAACGGTTTTGACAAAGTTTACAGATGGATTCGTTTTTGATTCTTGAAATGCCATTAACCACAGACATAATCTGTATTTATCAAAACAATTAGTAAGTGCTGTGTTCTCAATCACCATCCTGAAACTGGAGGACAGAGGAGCTGAGGATCTGCAACAATGTCCTCTGAAGTCCAATGATTTTAGCCTCCTTATGCACAGATTTAACAATCTCCCTGAGAATATTGTGTCCCAATTTAAACATGCTCTTATAAAGGAATACTGAGTTTGTTAGCTAGAATTAGCGAACAAACTACAATTGTTAGCTAGATTAGAATATCTATGAGAACCTCTGTTGACAGAACACAGGTATGCTAGGTTTCAGGTTATTGATGATTATCTTGGTCCACTCATTTGGGATAAACACCAAATTTTAACTTAATCTCTGCATGTACTGATTCTCAACTGCTACACTCCTTTGTCACACTGACTGGAATTATGCACTATGCCTCTGTTTACTTTAACTTCCTACAAAACATTTTAATGTCAAATGCTTTGTTGCCAAATAGTAGGTCTATGAAGTTATATGAAAAACAGAGTATTTAGGCAGAGATTTTTTATTTATTTATTTTTTTTGCTTAGTTGAGGCAGTCATTTCACTAGAAATAAAATTACCCTTAACCATCAACAACTTGACGGTTAAATGGCACATGGGAGATGAATGAATCCACAGTGATAGAAAATAGTAGCTCAAACATATTCTTCATAATGCCCCTCTACCCTGACAGCACAATTACCGAAGTGTGCTATGCTGCTGGTCTGGTTAATGAGCTTCACACGTAAGTTACAAAATGTTTACACTGAAAATGTCAAAATAATCACTGACAATTTGCTGTACTTGCCTACGTTTAGAATGCACTAGTTCCCTAACAAGCTCTGGAATTATCCTTCTAGTGTTTGGATGTCTCATTAGACACGGTTAGGACTTTTGTTACCAAATTCTAACCTCACAAGGGAGAGAGAGAGAAATAAAAAAAAAAGGATTTACCTCAGAATCTTTGTAGCAAAACACCCACACAACATGAAAATAATGAACCAAAGACATCCAAATTTAAGCTCGTTATGACCATCATATCACGGTACTCTGCATAACCCAAGTATTGCATCACATGGGAGATGACCTGGCATCCACTGCTGGCTAATTTGCTGGGATGATGAGGCAGGCTCAGCTGCACTGTTTTTAATGATGTAATATTCCCAAAGCACAGGCTCCTCATTGGCAGCCTTGTAAGTCCCTTTCAAGTACATGTGCACACATGCACAGATACAGACGCACAAGTCTCTGCACACCTCTCACTCGGCTCCTGTATGTTTCTCAACTCGGCGACAGCAACCACTGTGGACGTAAATATGAATCATCTCTCTCGCTGAGAATACAGGTGCTTTACATTTAGAGTTGCATGAAATCATGAGTCTGGATATTGTCTTTGTGGTTGTTTTTAGCTCCGATGGAGCGATGAGATGATGTGCTGACAATTTACTCTGTTTCTCTTTTCTATTTTGCTTTTCTTAAAGTGTATTTTTAGACACCTTTCATGTGTAACAGCAGAAGTAAAAAGGGCCCTCCCCTTCCTTTTTTTTTTTTTTTTTTTTTTTTTTATAAATGAAACTAATATAAAGTGAAGAGGTATGAGTGTGTGTGTGTCTGAAGGTGTCAGATAAAACCCTAATTTTAGCATCTGAACACCTCCGGAGCCCCGTAAGAGGTGATTAATTTAGAGAGCTCCTGGACTCTGTGTTAAAATCATCTCGCAAATTTGCCAACCAACCAGATGGATGCATGCAACCTTGTGATGAAGTAAGCAAATGGATACCGCCGCGGCCGCGTCCTGACCTCAACAACTTCTGACATTTCTCTGTCATGTTTCTTTGATGTTATTCTATTTGATCACCGACAGGCAAGGAGAGTGAATGCAAAAGCTTGCAGAGGTGGAAGAAAACGCGTCACAGCTGAGCTCCACACAGGAATGTAGTGTTGACATTGATGGTCCAAAGCAAAGGGCAAAGCGACGTGACAAGCATCCGAGCAGGGCAGGGACAGACAGAGGGACAAGCGGACAGCAGAGACGTGGGACACACGAGAAGCTGTCATAAAACCCTCCCTGAATACATCGCAGGGGTCACTGAATTGGGCTCGTTTTACATCTTCTCACGAATTAAATATAGCTCTCTGGGGGATTTGTGAACTTCCCGACTGATGTGTGTTTTCAACAAGGCTGCAATTGCTGTGTCTGTTTGAGAGACACTCAACAAGCCCAAATGAGAGGTGTTCGTATAGAGATACCAGATGGGATGTTTTATCTCCACCCTTTAAGAGGGTAACAAGCATTTATCTTGTTACCAGACGAGTGACAGGATGCTTTAGCTGAATTGTGTTCGTATCCTGATAACAAAAGCACTCATTGTGCTCAAAGCCAGTGGGTACAAGCAAATCGCAGAACTTGTTTCTTGAGGGATAACTTCACTACATATTT